AATTTATTGGAATTAAAGTGTATTCTGATGGCAATATTTGAACCAACGAAACAATATTTTAACATAGAAGGTAGGTCCTGGAACCAGTTAAACTCATATGTAGAGGTTCTGCTGTTGTTGAATAAGCAGCAAACTCTGTGAATGTCAGGATTTGAAACTCAAGGCAGGACTCAGATGCAGAGATCTTGGAAAAAACTTTAATTTAGATAAAGACGCACTCACATTGAGTGGAAGACATGGCAAGTACAAAACAATAATCACTCTTGAAAACGAGGCAGACAAAGCTATGAACAAAGTATCAGATAATAATCACTCTAACGAGGCAGACAAAATACAAAATAAACTCACTCTAAAAAGAGGATGGCAAAAGTTAGAAAGTACAAAATCAAAATCACTGTCACAAGGAATAAACAGGTTCAAGACCCAAGGCAAAGATTACTATGGTTTTGGTTCAACTCAGTATAGGACGAAGACAAAGGAAGAAAGTTAAACACACTGGCACAAGACAAGGAGAGACTCAGACTATTTAAACACCAGGGAAGGGAACCCCAGGGGAACATAACTGGTGATCAGGGAAGACAAGCAGACATGTGACACACAGAGGAGTGCAAGAGACCTGAAACAAGGGGATGTAGCTTTCAAAATAAAACAGGAAATGTCAACCATGGAGACCGAACAAAACACCAAAATTCCCCCAGACGTGACAGTGAATGTGTCAGACAGAAACAGATCTCCAATCACTGGCTGATGCTTCTAGAGGTCCAGAGTTAGTGAATGTTTGTGTGTGAAACAGTAGCAACAGTTTGGAGCAGCCAAACTCCAAAAGCCCACCAATCAGATGATCCTACCAAACTCCCTCCAACACAGCTGGAAATGAACATCTGGGACTTCAGGAGAAAACAGCTTTCATCACAGAAAGTAACTCCACAATGTAGAAAAAGAACATGGTACCAACAGTAGAACGTGGTGGTGGTAGTGTGATGGTCTGGGGCTGTTTTGCTGTTTCTAGACTTTGTGAGAAAATGGAATCATGAGTTTCTGTCCACCAAAACCTCCTGAAGGAGAACATCTGTTTGTGACCTAAAGCTGTAGTCCTATTTGTAGCTCCACAAAAATATTCAACTTTTTTTTTTTTTTTTTTTTTTTTTTTTTTTTTTTTTTTTTTTTTTTATTTCTGTGAGACTGAATGTAAAAGCTCTGAGTGCAAATCATTGTGAATAAAACTCTATTTTCTATGAATGGAAAGTTTTAAATGCTGTGGACATGAATTCAAGTTAGTGAATAAAAGTGGAAAAATGCTTAAATGAGGTCACAGATGGGACTAAAGGAACCCTGATTAACCTGCATCCTGTTCAGCTCACATCTTTTATTCTTTATTCAGGTTGATGCTCTGCAGTTTGTCAGGGAGCAGCTGTGCTCCTCTGGTCTCAGCTCTGAAGTCCAACCCCTCCCATCTGACAGAACTGGACCTGAGTCTCAACTACCTGGAGCGGTCAGCTGTCCAGCAGCTGTTGGATCTGCAGCAGAGTCCACACAACAAACTGCAGACTCTGAGGTCAGTAGGCAGCTGGAGGTCCATATGAACTAAACCCAGTTGGTACCAGAGCAAAGATCCAGTTTCCTGTGAACCTGCAGCCTTCTCAGTGTGAAGCTGTGAGAGCAGAATGAGGTCAGGCTTTTTCAGCAGAGTCAGCAGAAAGAGCCAGCAGCCAATCAGATCAGGAGCTTGTTGTGTGCATGGTGCTGAAAGCCTCTGCAGGTGTGTGAGCTTCCAGCTCCAACATGTGAACATGAGAGCTGACAGGAAGCTGCTCTGAGCAGGACTGATGTCCCTGCTGCTCTTTCTGCTGGATGCTGCTCCCTGCTGACAGCTGAGGAACAAACACTCCTTTATCTGCTCTCTTTCTGCTTCTCTCTACAGATGGGAGTCATGGTGAAGAGGATGATGAGTCCTACTGATCCACAGAGGATGAAGCAGTAGCAGCTTGTGTGCAGACAGACTCTGATCATGAGGATGAAGTCTGTTACTGTTCTGGGCTTTTCCTATTTTGAAGTGGCCTCAACCCGAGATCCTTAGGGCTGCAGGCTGAGGCTCCACCTCCCCACGACCCCTCTCCTCCTTCTTTCCTCCCACCCACAGGACAACAACCCACTAGAGCTCCTGTTAAAAAAGATTCCCCCCCTCTCTTCCACATCTCACTCCAGAGCCAGCTGCTCCTACTCCTGATGACCTGACTTTTTGTAATTCACATGTTCTGTTTCATTTTAAATAGTTCAAATATGTTTGAGTTTGTACAGAACCATTTTGAATTTAATTGTTAGGAGTTATTAGGATTTATTAGGTATTTTTTTAAGTTCCCATTAATTTGGGAGGGTAAGAACAGCCAGGGTATATCTGGATGGGGTTGTGGTTTGTAAGGAGCAATGTCAGGTGAACTTTTACCACACTTTTGTGTTACCTTTTCGATCTCCTTTTTTACTTTTAAATTTGCAACAAAGTTACAATGGAATTTTGGTTGGTTTTTCCCTATAATTTTACAAGAAATAAAAGGAAAGTGCGTCAAAACCACAAACCACCTGTTACCACCGACGGCCTTTTCTTTGTTGGAACAATTTGGTTTGGAAAAATTAAAAGGCCGTGACAGGGTTTTTTCTGGCTTTGCTGATTAATTTCTGTTCATCTATAGTATTCATGTCTTCATTTCTATTTAATTTCATCTTACATTTACACACCAGTTCATTGCAAACATTACTGATGAGTTGACATACAAAGTTACTTTAAGTGAATAAATGCTGTTTTCTGGTTTAAAGACGTGTGGTCTCCATCTTTAGTCTCCACCTCTGAGCCAGGTTGGGACTCCCTTCAAACAGGTTTTGAAGGGTAAGAACAGAAAAGACTGCAGTCTGAGAGCTTCAGAAAACATCTTTACTGGACACTCCAACCGTCCAGACTTCCTCCTTTTCAGTTCCCTACAGGTCACCAGCTTTCCTGGAGCCACCTTCAAGCAGGCGGAGGCCATCTTGTTGGGTGCCACGGCAACCACCCAGGTGAGGAAACTGGTGACGCTGGCCCAGACCCAGATGTGCAGCCAGAGGCAGAAGAACCAGGCTCATTCATGTCCAGATACTTCTGTACTACAGAACCTGCTTTTTACTGGAGTCTGTTCAGCCCTCCACTTCACTGGACTGACACCAGAACTCTGACTCTGCTTTTAGCTGTGTGTTCAGCCTGAGCAGATCCTGATCTGAACAAAGCTTTCAAACACACAGTCTGTTTTTGGCTGACCTGAACATTTGAAGGCAGCATGTGCATGTCTGTGCTCTAAAAGTGGCATTAACGAATTTATATTCTGCCTTAAATGGAGGAAAACAGAAGAAATGCTTACATTGTTTCAAGCTGTAGTTACACCAAACTGCCACAGAGTGTCGCTGTGGTCAGGCTGTACTGCATGGCCACTGGTTAAGATGAAAGAAAAGAGTCACTAAAACATAAAACACAGCCCAAATAAAGTCATTACTGAGCACGTCTATTTTCCTGGACATATAGTAAATTAAAATCCACACTCAATGTTTAAAATAAACCAATTTATGCCAAACACAGAAAAATAGCAGAAAACAGTCACAGCAACAGAAAACCTCATGAGAAATGAATCACGTGGCCAGTATCAGCTTTCAGTTATTAGCTACTTTATCTGCTCCATAGCGAGGTTCAAAAATACCTTCAACTCACCAAAAATTCAATCTAACTAAGAAGAAGTCCTCAGGTAACAAATTTCTATTATTACAATTAGTTTCAGATGGGAAAATGTATGTAAGTTTTCTTTGTCTTTAACATCTAATTCAGCTGTGACAAAAAACATCAGTTTAAACATATTTCTCCAGGAAAATATATATTTTTTCACATTGTATTCAAAATATCTTTGGAAATTGATGTGGAAAAATCTCAAACCTAAACATTTTACTATTCCACACTTGCTGAATTTCTACCCACCTGATAAAGAAAACAGAAAGTTTTAAATGCAGATATGTAAAGTTTCAAACTTTGCTTTGGCAGTGTTCACACAGTGAGTCTCACAGTGAACATGAACTCTTATTTCAGATCCAGAACATCAGCAGAGCTGCTCTGTGCTCAGAGAGCTTCATGGACTGAGTTATGACGCAGATTACCCCCCAAAAAACATTATTCACTGTATAATGGACATTATGACTGGAGGACTTCTCTCATTTATATCTAGAGTTGATAATCTATCAATATCATCATCATCTTATATTTCTCTATTATGTATCAAATTATTCTCTCTAAGCAGTGTCTCTATCCAAGTTTTTTAATGAATCCATTATTATAATGCAAATGTATTTATCTTACTTATCAAATCACTGTCTTATTTAGTCTCCTGGGTTGGCTGGAGGAACTTTGGGGAGATTTCTTTAATCCTGCTTTGGAGGGGCTCACTTCATTGTCATGTTCAGAGCCTCCACATTGGCTAAAGTTTCACTGGGCTTCATATGAACACTGTTTTCAGCAGTCTTCATGTTTGTTAGTGCCTGAGCCCCTCTATGAGCCCCTCAAAAATAAAGTGTAATATGTATAAAAATAATGTGCTGCCTCAACATAAAAAAATGTATGTAACAATTTGCATAGATTTTTTAAAGCTATTTAAACTCAGCCATAATTGAGTAGGTGCCACAAGGATTATCTGGTTAGTCAAACTAATTTACTTTATCACAGGAAACATGATTTTCTTTGTCCATTAAAAGCTTAATGAAGTTGGACCAACTTAATTTTCTTTGGGTAAAAATGACTCCTAAAAATAAACCAGCAGACAAAGATTCAATATGAATCTGTCATCTGCTTTGTGGTTCCTGTTTTAATAAAATGCAAGAATTCAAATATCTGCATTTCAAGAACAAAAAGAAGAATCAGTTTCTACAGCAGAAATGTGTCCATCCTATTGTTTTTCTGCTGTAAAACCTTTGATCAGAGCAAAAAAAAGAAAAATAATAAAACAATGTTTTATTACAGAGTTCTATGATCATAACCATGTAAAACAATGAGGCAACATTCTCAGTAAATTGGGTCTATTCTTCCATAAGTTACATAAATAAGTGTCAGATGTGTGTTAATGTGCTGGAAACAAGTGAAGTCAGAGTAGAAACTAAAATATGTGGTGATTGTTTGGATGAAGAAATGATTGTATTTAGTTGGCAAAGATTGAGGGAAGGAAAGCAGTCAAAACATATAACTGATTTTACAGTTGTTCCTCCGGTTTCTGAGTTTAAAGAAAAGTCGGTGCCAGTTGAGGGCAAGTCTTGGTGTATTTTGTTTCTAATAGCTAGAATTTTATCATTAAAGAAGCTCATGAAGTCATGACTAGTGAGAGCTTATGGGAGTACTTGACTCAATAAATTTATACATTTTATAAACGAGAATCAGTGACGCTTAAAGAGAATGCAGACAGCAGTGCCTGATATTTTATTAGATCATCTGGATTTTGGGATTTTTGCCATTTCCTTCTGAGAGGCTCGGGCAGGTTTAGTGGATAGCTTGTCTTTGGGTGGAAAAGATGCTGTCAATTGCATTGAGAGACCAGCCGACCAAATCCATGGTTGATGTTAGGCTTTAGAATTAAAATAAGACCTCTCTCAGAGGAGCAGGGTCTGTGGACCGTCCTGCTGGAGTCTTTCTCCAAAGCCTCCTCTGACACACTGATCCAGCTCCACACCTTCAGCAGCTCATTGGCTGCAGATCCTCTGCTTCCTGGTTCAGCTTCTGCTTTACTTCTGTGTGCTGCCTGTAGAGAGCCTCCTCCGGCCCTTTACAGCCTGGAGCTGCTGCCCCGGGGGTTTGTATTAAAGAAGAGTCTTAGCCTGTGTCTGAGGAAGCAAGGGATCATTTTATTGAGAGCAAACCTCATCAGGTGAGAGCGTCCACCATGCTGACGTGCAGAGCAAGACAACACCTGCTACCTCTCAGAAAGCTGAGAATAACAGGAGACCATCACCAAGAGAGCTGAGCATGTGACCAGAGCCAAATGTCTCCATCACAGCTGCGTTCTTCCAGGATCCACACGGCGTTTCTCCAGTGGAAGCTTCACTGGTTGTGTTTCTCTGCAGCAGCTTCAGAGCATTCAGCTCATTTCAGCTGCTGCTAGTTTGCTGCTCATGAAACAAACTGTGAGGATCCTCACTGTTCCAGAGAGGGCCCCACATGTGGAAAGAACCAGTCCTGGGCAGCTCCCTGCCCTCCAGCATCCATTCCCTCTCTCTAAAGCAGAGACATTTCAGCCTGGTCCATAACTTAACTGACCAGTTGAGGGGTCAGAGCTAACTGTAAAAAAAAATACAGCTTTTGTAAAAATCTCAACTGTCCCACCAAAGATGAACCTCTTGGTGAGCTTTACTGTAAGAAACAGATCTGTTCTCCTTACAAACTTTGAGAGTTTAAATCAGTTTTTAAAAGAAAGATCAACAGGGTTTCCTTGATAATAATCAAAATTGCTTATGTTCTTCCATCAGCAGCTGTGACATAGCTCTGCTTCAAACTTCTCTCTAGGATGAAGAGTCTGAGGAAACAACGTCTGCTGCCTTCACAGACGGGGGTCAGGAAGGCCTACTGAGGCAACATGTTGTGTTACTGATGGTCCACTTCCCATTTCTGAACATTCTGGTGAAGCATTCAGCCTCCTCTGAAGTGTGAACACATTGTCCTTGTTAGCAGAGCGTGGCTGGGCAGCAGCAGGAGGGTCCCTCAGCTTCCACTGCACAGACACATGCTCAGTAACTCCAGAGCCTCATTCTGTGAC